GACTCCCAGAGATTTGGGATGTCTGTTACCAGCCCCCCCTCCTCCAGCTGAGGACAGGCGGCTCATGGCTCTCTGCTGAGATCCGGTCCAGTCAGCGCTTCATACGCCCCCTTACCTTGACCTCAATTCGGTGCTTCGTTTGGATTCGCCCATTTGATGGTGGAAGTTTAGAATTGAGATATTTGCAGAGAAAGGAAGTGTGGATGGGGTTTGAACTTCTCTGTACGTCCATTTTACCCACTGAACTGTCATTATTCATCTAAGACAATGGAAACTGGGTTTTGCATTCTATGACCCCTTTAACCTAACAGGGAATGGCCTTGATGAACTCAAAGTGTGTGGAAGTTGTTTATGCAGGGGGACAGGTTGGTTCACCTGGGGGGATTGTGTGTGTTGGGATTTTTGTAAGGTATAAATGTATGTACTAAGGTTGCCTCAGTGAGAGCCCTATCTCTCTGTCTGAGGATGTTAAATACATTTGAACCATTTTTATTGCAAGAAATGCCTCTGTCTCAGCTTCCTAACTCCACACAAGTTTAGAAGACAAGGTTAAAAAAGAAATTGCTTGGTCATCCATTCTGGATAGCACAGATTGGTTCATAGCTGGAAAACAGATATCCCAAAGCTAAACTAGTTAAAAACATTTTTTTTTTTAAAACAGACTCTTACCTTGGCAATGCGAACTGTTGATCCTCTTATATCCTGGAGGACAGTTGATCAGAGGGATGGCTGAGGAAGCAAGGACAGAAAGCAAGGCACTGGAATAAGTGGTGCATCTCTGATATTAAAATATTCAGTTTAGTTGAAGAAAAATATGCATTTACTGCAACGGACAAAAGTTGTCTACGAAAGGCAGAGAGGTTGTTGGGCTACTGTATAAGAGCCTCGAACTCAACGCTATTTCTGACATTTTGAACCGAAAAAGCTTCCATAATGGGAAGCGAAGCATCTTCAAACTTGGAAACAAAGACCAGTTTATATCTTTTTTGGAAAGACTATGACCTGGATGACTGAGAAACTTCACCAGCAAGACATAGAAATGTTATCATGTCATGTTGAGCGTGAGATAGAACTCAACCAGGTTCTATAACTCCAAAGATAGCCATTTGAGCATTAAGGGCTGGTTATCCTCCAGCAGTAGTGTGTCACAGTGAGCTTGTCGCAGATATTTTTGATTTATGTTCAATATTGAAGTGTGGTCTGCACTATATCATTCCATGCCACAAAACAAGAGGGACAATCAGGAAGTAGCTGTCGTCTAGATATGTCTGAGGCGGTGAGGAAGTGGGGGCAAGTTTGTGCGACAATGGAGGGACCTCACTCTACTAGCTGGTCTAACTTCACGAGTCATTTTCCTCAATGGCGGTCATACAAACCATGGTCGTAGGTTTGCATAGGGACCATAGGGACATGTCCCTACCAATAATTGGATGTAAACA